ATCGCTATTAAATTTATGCAACGGTACATTTCGAATAACGTGGTACCCCGAAGATTGAGATGTGACCAAGCACAGACATTTAGAGCTAAAAAATTTCAACTGTTTTGAAATACAAGCAATACGAAATTATTGTTTGCGCCGGACGATGATCATAGAGCAATCGGGGTAGTACAGAGGATGATACAAACTTTGAAGCGTAGATTAGCGGTCATCAGAATCGACAAAACAACTACACCGTACAAACTCGCATCAAATGTAGCCGAAATTATTTAAACACTGAGAATTACACCACATAGCGTAACAAAAAATTTCACCATTTGAGGCCCACATGGGACGTACGCCAAACACACCCTTATCAAACGTTGCAACTAGTAGTTCACCTAACAATTTAAATTGGGAAAGTGCAAAACATGCATGTTTAGATCGAAAGAATATTACAAAGCCGCCACTACCCGCCGAAGTAATGCACGATTTGCAACGGATGCCTCGGAACCTGACAAACTCAGACTTACCGACACAAAAAGACACAGGTGCAAAATCTAAAGCTATAAAAATAGTAAAGGATAAATTAAACGTAAGATATAAGGGAATACAAGCAACGGTAGACAAAAACACGAAAAAACGGATAGATCAGGTAGCACGGAAAACGTTAGAATAGCAACGAAGGTTAAGGATCCGAGAACATTCGAACAAAAATACAAAACCGTAGACGGAAAAATTCTTACATATACACCACACACCGCTTTGGTGCAAACATTCGGAAAACAACCAAGATTACTAAGAAGTAGCGGTGCCGCATTTGTCCCATACCCTTTTATATACGGACAATGCAGACCGTCTCGACTCAGTGATTACGTTGCTTATAAATCCGCGCGGAGATCAGGACGATGCCTACGTTTTTTAGACATCGAGAACCCAATTGCTCCCCAGCATCCAATGTTCAGACGAGACGAAACAACTGGCCTTCCAAGGAAACTAAACCAAATAAAAAGACGTTGGGACAAGAAAAAACGAATAGTCCAACAAAGCGGAAAGCAAGAGCAACAGGAAAACGGTCCGGCGGGCGATCGACACGAAAGCTACAAACCAGCGGAATGAGTTTGCAAACGAATATCCCGGCCGGGACTTCAAACAATAACAACATCATACCACAACCAGTAACATCAGACAATGACGAAGAGGATAATGACGATCAATCATCGGCCTCATCAGAGGATATTGCCCCATCGCCTAAAAGGCAAAAAAAGAAAAGAACACCCCCCGCGATTTCAACGGATCCGTTAAGAAAATCAACATGAAACCGCCAATCGGCGCTGTCCAATGCGTTTGGGAACCCGGTACCCATTAACGCCATTAACAATGAACACGACGAAGGAAGGAAAACGCCGCTCCAATTTGAAATTGATTCACCACCGGACAAACGAGATACGGACAATTATCCAAGCCTAAAGTCCCTAATCCAAGAAATGGGTTTCACTGAAAAGACCCCCCATTACAGAGCATGTATAAAACTGATTGAAGCAATTAGCCCGAAACAAAACAGGCCACACAGAAGTAGTCGATTTAACCTCGCCCACAGAGGACGACGCCACAGCCGGTAACAATAACGAAATTTTATTCGTCAATACGAAACTACAACAAGAAGGCGGGACGGAACAGACAAAGAAAAGCAACACATTACAAGATGACGAAGAACACGAAAGTCAGGGGGAGGAAATTGCCAAAGATGACATACAAGCAGAGAAATGATATGTCAAAAAGTCCTATCGGGACTATAAAACTCATAAATCTGTCAGTCCTAAGGGGACTTTACAACTCAATTTAAAAAACCATTGTTTATAAACTTTGTAGTCAAGGGGGAATATCATCCGGCCTGAATCGTTAAACTAACTTTAAACGTATGTTATTTATATTATTTATAATCTTATGTTAAACGCCTAGACGGCCGGTCACTTGACCTTGATAGACAGAGAATACGAACTCTATTTGAAATAAGAATCAGATTTGAATTACTGTTATCTGTCAACTAGTCGTTTTATATCGTTCCGACTGATAAACAAGGTTTATCGATCCATTCGGATTCAAGAATTAGAATATCATACCCTGCGGTATGACATTATCGTTCGACTCAAAAAAATTCAAAACGGAAACATTCGATTCAAAGAGTTTAAAACTGACATTGTTCGATTCTGAGAGCTGAAAAAGGGCCTATTTTGACCGCTTCTAAGGAATCACAACTTGAGCAGCTCAGCTAAGTTATGCAAATTACAAAGGAAGCGGAACAGGCTTCATGGTACAATATTCGGAACAGGCTTCATGTCCGAGAGGATTGCCTTCTAATAGACGAGAGAATTGTCAATTCTACACAATTGAGGCAGACAGTGCTCGACAGTCTCCATTTGACACATCCGGGATCGGCAGCAATGTTGGACTTTAGTAACCATGTCTGGTTTCCCCAAATACATCAGGCAATTGTGCAGATGGCACAAAATTGCAAACACTGCACTGAGCAAGGTAAAAATTCAAAACCCAACATAGGAAAAAACATTCGTTCCAAATGGGACCAGTAGTCGAACCTAATGAGGAAGTATAATTAGATTTTGCAGGGCCACTTCCGGATGAATTAAATAGAGACGCATATATCTTAGTTGCAAAAGATAAGTGGTCTAAATTTCCAACTGCAAAAGTCGTAACGAATACAACAGCGGATATCGCTATTAAATTTATGCAACGGTACATTTCGAATAACGTGGTACCCCGAAGATTAAGATGTGACCAAGCACAGACATTTAGAGCTAAAAAATTTCAACTGTTTTGTAATACAAGCAATACGAAATTATTGTTTGCGCCGGACGATGATCATAGAGCAATCGGGGTAGTACAGAGGATGATACAAACTTTGAAGCGTAGATTAGCGGTCATCAGAATCGACAAAACAACTACACCGTATAAACTCGCATCAAATGTAGCCGAAATTATTTAAACACTGAGAATTACACCACATAGCGTAACAAAAATTTCACCATTTGAGGCCCACATGGGACGTACGCCAAACACACCCTTATCAAACGTAGCAACTAGTAGTTCACCAAACAATTTAAATTGGGAAAGTGCAAAATATGCATGTTTTGATCGAAAGAATATTACAAAGCCGCCACTACCCGCCGAAGTAATGCACGATTTGCAACGGATGCCTCGGAACCTGACAAACTCAGACTTACCGACACAAAAAGACACAGGTGCAAAATCTAAAGCTAAAAAAATAGTAAAGGATAAATTAAACGTAAGATATAAGGGAATACAAGCAACGGTAGACCAAAACACGAAAAAACGGATAGATCAGGTAGCACGGAAAACGTTAGAATATCAACGAAGGTTAAGGATCCGAGAACATTCGAACAAAAATACAAAACCGTAGACGGAAAAATTCTTACATATACACCACACACCGCTTTGGTGCAAACATTCGGAAAACAACCAAGATTACTAAGAAGTAGCGTTGCCGCATTTGTCCCATACCCTTTTATATACGGACAATGCAGACCGTCTCGACTCAGTGATTACGTTGCTTATAAATCCGCGCGGAGATCAAGACGATGCCTACGTTTTTTAGACATCGAGAACCCTATTTCTCCCCAGCATCCAATGTTCAGACGAGACGAAACAACTGGCCTTCCAAGGAAACTAAACCAAATAAAAAGACGCTGGGACAAGAAAAAACGAATAGTCCAACAAAGCGGAAAGCAAGAGCAACAGGAAAACGGTCCGGCGGGCGATCGACACGAAAGCTACAAACCAGCGGAATGAGTTTGCAAACGAATATCCCGGCCGAGACTTCAAACAATAACAACATCATACCACAACCAGTAACATCAGACAATGACGAAGAGGATAATGACGATCAATCATCGGCCTCATCAGAGGATATTGCCCCATCGCCTAAAAGGCAAAAAAAGAAAAGAACACCCCCCGCGATTTCAACGGATCCGTTAAGAAAATCAACATGAAACCGCCAATCGGCGCTGTCCAATGCGTTTGGGAACCCGGTACCCATTAACGCCATTAACAATGAACACGACGAAGGAAGGAAAACGCCGCTCCAATTTGAAATTGATTCGCCACCGGACAAACGAGATACGGACAATTATCCAAGCCTAAAGTCCCTAATCCATGAAATGGGTTTCACTGAAAAGACCCCCCAATACAGAGCATGTATAAAACTGATTGAAGCGATTAGCCCGAAACAAAACAGGCCACACAGAAGTAGTCGATTTAACCTCGCCCACAGAGGACGACGCCACAGCCGGTAACAATAACGAAATTTTATTCGTCAATACGAAACTACAACAAGAAGGCGGGACGGAACAGACAAAGAAAAGCAACACATTACAAGATGACGAAGAACACGAAAGTCAGGGGGAGGAAATTGCCAAAGATGACATACAAGCAGAGAAATGATATGTCAACGTCCTATCGGGACTATAAAACTCATAAATCTGTCAGTCCTAAGGGGACTTTACAACTCAATTTAAAAAACGATTGTTTATAAATTTTGTAGTCAAGGGGGAATATCATCCGGCCTGGATCGTTAAACTAACTTTAAACGTATGTTATTTATATTATTTATAATCTTATGTTAAACGCCTAGACGGCCGGTCACTTGACCTTGATAGACAGAGAAGACGAACTCTATTTGAAATAAGAATCAGAGTTGAATTAATGCTATCTGTCAACTAGTCGTTTTATATCGTTCCGACTGATAAACAAGGTTTATCGATCCATTCGGATTCAAGAATTAGAATATCATACCCTGCGGTATGACATTATCGTTCGACTCAAAAAAATTCAAAACGGAAACATTCGATTCAAAGAGTTTAAAACTGACATTGTTCGATTCTGAGAGCTGAAAAAGGGCCTATTTTGACCGCTTCTAAGGAATCACAACTTGAGCAGCTCAGCTAAGTTATGCAAATTACAAAGGAAGCAAAAAAGTAAAACAATTGGAATTCATGCTAATAAATTCAACAACTACGGGCATACAACAAGCATATTATATGAAAACACTGAGTAAAACTACTATTGCACGTACATTTACAGTCAGTTCGACTTTTACTGTCGATTCGTAGAATTAAAACCAAGTAGATTATGAGACAATTTAAAGACAATCAAATTAACCTAGTTAAGTTTTAAAATTTCAATTAGTATTAGGTCATTTTAAATGAGTCTTTGCTCCGAAAATAGGTACGTCAGTTTTCGTATTCACGCATCAGATGACGAAACAGGGTTAGCAGTGCTTCGGCTGTTAATAGGGGGGTGACTCACGGAACGAGAGTATAAAGCGACTCCTTTCGAATCAGAGGACGAATTGGTCGAGTCACGATCAAAAGGATGGGGGATTCTTGATGCAGCCGAGATCTTCCCGGTCATCCTGACAGGGGCGGGTTTATTTCGTTGGGGCGAACTGGACATTAACGATTGTTGCATTGTACTCAATCGAAGCCCTTGACCGGTTTTCAAATTTAGAAGGGGGTGGTTGGCGGGTAAAGGGGGAGGGGACAAGGTCGAGGATGTGGGGGTAGTCGTTGGGTTGTTTAGGGCTAGCGGAGGGGCGAACGAGTAAAAAACCGAGTCTTCTGTGTTGTTCGGGTCGTAACTGTGCATGCTATCTGAGCTTGCCGATGAGTTTCGATTACTGTTGCTTCCGCCACTGTTCACCGAGACACTTCTCGACATCGAAACCGAAGAGAGTCGGTTTAGATTCTGACCACTCGGACTCACATGTATGAATGAAATACTCGCTCCGGCTGATATCGGATCTCCGGATGTCCCAGGTTGATTGCCGCCTGTGACAGTGTCATTAATTATTCCTGCATTATCGCGATTTGGTCTGAGAACTGAGGAGTTGTCTACCGCCCTTCGGACTCTGACGAGAGGGTTGGTTGGGGTGACACGACTGCCGACGGAGGATCCCACTGTGTTTACTCCTCCTGTGATTGTGTGCATTTCCCGGGCACGTCTGGCAACAGCATGAGCCGAAGCCTCGTGTGTGAACAGTCGCCCTCTAGTGCTGTGAGGTGTCAACAATTTTCGAACTGCTCTTCGCATATTAGCAGACATGCTCAATACCAAGAAGGGAAATATTGCAGTGTTCAAAAACAGAAGACAGTGCAGAACTGTTTGGGCCAGGTACCAACTGGACTGTGAGGTCGGGGAGGAAAACGAGGAATCGGGGGGCGAGGATGTGAGATACAAGTGCATGAGTCTTCTAGGAGCGGCTAGCATGATGTAGGATACCAACACATAGAGCATCAAACGAACCAGCTGAAACAGAAACATCATCAATTTATAACTAATGACTAATTGTTGCCAGTAATTGACCTTGAGCAATTTATTCGGTCAAAAAACCGACGTACAAATGAACAATTTTAGGTTAATCAACTTCGTTCACGTTCGTGTACCAAAAATGACATTGTATTGCCAACAATTTGGCATTAACTATAGAACCTGTTTTTCAAAATGTCATTCAAAACAAAAAAACTGTAGTCTGGCATAGGGGCGGGCGGATCTAGGACTTTCTCGAGGGGGGGGGGGGATTTTCAAAAAAAAATCAAATTGATTTACTGGGGTCTCCCAAATCTTATAAAGTCCTCAGGCCAAAAAAAAGCGTTTTTAAGCACTTTTTCGAAAATTTCGACCAAAACAAAACGCGTTTAATAGGCGCGCGCTCCCCCTCGAGACAAGTATATTTTGGCTCCCAAGGCGTTTTTAGAAAATTTTTAGGGTTAGTCAACCAAGAATGGGTATCTCCAAATAGTGCAAAGGGGGATCGGTAGGGGGTAAAAATTCCAACGGGGGGCGCCTCCCCCCCTTAAATCCACTGGTGGCAGATAAAAAGCAGTTTCTTAGGAGCATATTTTCTGTTTCACAAAAAAACAGCTCATCTTTACAGCCATTAGTATTAAACTGGCTCATCTTTACAGCCAGTTTAATACTAAAGCTCTGATTCAAGATAAAACTAGTGTGTGGCGTCTTGTTTGCTCATCAACCTAACGTCCCGGTTGGTTTCCTTATAAATCATTTGCTATCATCGCACATGTAAATTTTAAATTTTGTAACGGCTCTAGTCAGGGTGAATGAGGAGTTAATGATGTTAAGGTCCATAGAACCTTTTCTTACATTGTATGTTTTGTCAGTGACTGCTTTGTCGTTTCGTTTTCGTCTCTGCATGGAGTTGCGAGGGAAAGATGAGAGCGAAGATGAATTTGACGTCAATGATGAGGGAGGCATCGCGAAGCGTTGATTCATCAGGTACCCAGAACTCACCACCCGACGTGTACTTGCTCTAGGTCCTCCTGAAAACCCGCCAACAGGTTGAGTATAATTAGGGCGTCCAAGTTGCAAAGCATTAATTGCAGGGTTTCCTAGTCTGTTTGCTTGGGTTTGGTGAAGGTTGTTTTGAGTTTGGTTTGAGATTATGGGGTGCGGTTGCGGTCTTGGTTTAGGAGCCGTTGCTGTTGTTTGAACCAAAAGTATAACTGCAGCAGCCAGCGGAAGAGCAAGTAGAAAGAATCCTTCAGTGACTGACATGACGGCCCTCGCAATGTCGAGGCGTCGCAGATGACACCTGTTGATTGGGGATCCATCTGAGAGAATACATGAGTCGTATTTCAGAAACGGAACCCAACAGCAGCCGTACGCTAGACATAGAAGCCACGTGATGCTCCCACTTACTTGGGCACCCTTTACTGTCAAAACAGAGGAGACGGGGGAGGTGGGGAATGAGGTACTAGAGGCGTCAGGTGTCGAAGAAGACGACGCCGAGGAGTTGGAGGTCTTGCTCGCAAAGTACCTAAACATCGCATAACGTGCAGAATATTAAAAATTTTAAGACCTTTTTTTAGGCTTACCAAATTGAGTTTCCGAGCGCTACCAAAACACTATAAAAACCCATCTGGACAAGACAAAAAAATTAGCGTCGCATACATTAAAAAAAAACAGGGTCACAAACGCCGTTTTTGGAAAATTTTGACCAAAAATTGAGTTTTTTGGCGCGCACTTCCCTTCAAAATTAGTATATATTGGCGCCAAAGCGCCTTTCGAAAAAATTTAGGGTCGGTCGGCCGAAAATAAATTTCTTAAAAAGTACCAAAGGGGGACCCTTGGGGTCGAATCTCTGAGGGGGAGGCATCTGCCCCCCTAAATCCGCCCCTGCATGTATGGGTGAATAGTTTCGAAATCCGACGTTTTAATGTAGTGGTTCGACTAAATAGTAGCGGCATAATATATTTGAAAATTGAGCAACCTTTGTGCATAAGGTGGTCAAAGTTTAACTTAAGGCTTAACCCAAATGAAGACCACCTTCTCAGAAAACAACTGGGTTGAAGCTTGAACTGCCAGCAATTGATATTCAATTAACTTAATCCCAACTGAGCAAAGGTGATTTCACCTGATACTATCAATATCAAACATAAGACTCGACTCCCTATTTATATTCTGCAACCAACCTATTGTTATAGTTCCCGCCCTGCTGTTCTGTCAATCAATCTCTGTGACAGTTGATTGACAGCCAACTGACGTGTGTATATCTTCAAAACAACACAGTTGGTGCGAATTGCTGGCATAGCGTATTGTTTATCATCTGACTCACAGGATGTTTTTCATTATGATTTTTGTCGTATTCCATAAAATTTGTTATGAAAATAGAAGCTTATTTAAATGTGACGCTTGCATTTTTTTGTTAAAACACGAATATTTTGAAACATTGTAAGTGCTGGCTTAAGGAAGGCTATTCATATTAGAAAAACATCATATGCCTGAAAATTCTGTTTTGCGCGATAGCCATATAGTGCATAAGACCCTATACGGACCCTGTATATATTCCTCCGAAAAACTGAATTCCATACGGTCAGAAAAAAAGCGAACACAAAATAAAAACTAGCTTTAAATTTTTCAACATTGTAATTAAAAATGTTTAATATGAAAAAATGATTAACTATAAGCCTATCATGCAATTTCACAATTAAACAAAATGCAAGTTTTCTTCTATCATTTTTCCATCCATATACATTCTGCTGTCATTCAAATTCTGTTGTCATTAAACAATCTTGAAAGGGCTTTAGTACCATTTATCCTTCGACACCATGCTACCTATTCTAATTTCATCTAAAAAAGTGCAATTACCTTTCGAGTGCAATTAGCAGAATGAAAAGGGTAGACGCGACAGTTGCGACCAGCGACAGAGTATGACTCAGATAACAAGGGAACTCCCCCAACAGCCATTGTTCCTCGTACACCTGCAGGGTGGGGGGAACTAGTAAGACTGCCTCACTGCCCACTAGGAGAACGCAGGCTGAGCTGAGTCCGGCTAGAAGCCAGTAGATAGGTTTCTGCAGTCCAGCGCTGACTAATACTGCCAGTATCAGAAGAAAGTTACCTGCAAACAGAAAAAGCACATTAGTTCTATGAAAAAGGAACGGTACCTTACATCGAAAAAGAAATGTGCAGAAATGATTACCAGTTTATCATTAAATAGTGATCGACAGTTGCAACTTGGTAGTTGATGTAAATTTAAGTTAGTTTGGCATGATCAAGATACTGGCGATACATCAAAAAATGTTTTTAGGCCAATCGTTTTTTTTATGTAATCTTTAAAAATTTATTTTTATTAACATCTAAGCGGCATGAGAAAAATTAACTGAATTTTTGAATGCTTTTTCAGATGAAATCTAGTTCTGAAATAAAAATTTGTGAACATGTGGATCAAAAAAATACTTGAAGGAAACTCAAAAAATTTCTTATTTACACTCTCCTTTTAAAATCTTTTCAATATATTTACATCTAGGTCTATTTTCTTTTATTTTTCTTAAAGATTTTCAAATAACCGATGTGATGCTTACCAGAAATGCTGACGATACTAAGTAGCGAGTACAATGTAGCTCTCGAAGTGGCGTGCACCCCCGGCATGGGGGGAGGGGGTAAGAGATTCTGGGCTCCACACACTCGCGCAGACCCGTTCTCGGCCCAGGGCAGCGTGTAAACCCCACATAGCTGTTGTGTGTTATAGAACACTACACATCTGTCGCTACCCTCGTGCGGAAATTTATCATCAGAAGTTGATTGGGACCCCGACTTCATGTCCCCCCTAGACCTCGACGACCGTCCGCCTCGTGACTCATCGGAAGGTGCGGGCCGCGGAGGAAATTGTTTCTCAATCAAGGGTTTAATGTCACCCAAAGGTGTATCTTCTTGCCCCTCCCTGAAGACTTTTCCATTTAGCAGGTCAACGATAAAAGTTCCTGATGATTCCTCGATGGATCCATCGGAAACCAAGTTTTCAGGAGAGCCTAAATGACGGGACGCGCTTTTCATAATCTCCCTTCGAATCGTGGACAAATCAGAAGCCTTGACATAATGTAGATTTCCATATAAAGAAATAAACACAGCTAAGGCCAGAAAAGTATAAACAGGATTGTGTAAAACAATTACAGCCATAATCAGGTTGATTATCAGCAAAAAAAAAACAAAGTGATAGCCAGAAAAATAGAAATAAATTTCAAACTCAAATAATGAGGATGAATTGATGAAAATTTGGTACAATAATGATTCCCAAAATTTACTAAATAGTTTCAGAAAAATGATAATTGAGTTTTTGAGTCATTTTGAGATCAAACAATAATCGTGCTGGTATAATTCTTTGAGAGTTAGGGCGCTAATTCAATACTAGTTTCGTCTCAGAAGATAAGAGTAGATCTATCTGATTGACTCAAAAGTGTCACCGGTTCAAATCAGCCTTGCAAGTCCTTTCATTTTGTTGCCGACCAAAAATTAACTTAGACTCACAAAATCAAATTTAACATTAAATTTACTATCAACTATGAGGTCAAATTCTAATAATATATTCAAAACTGAATATGCAAATGGCCAATGATTAGTTAGAACACGATATACTAAGATTGAAATTATGATCAACTCGTAACAACAGAAAAACTATTTCAATGAAGTTTGTGAAATTCTAAGAAAAAGAAGAAAAAAGTTAAATGACTAATTAGCGCCAATTTTTTCACGTGTTTCCCCTTGGCGCAAGATAGTATTGCTGTTTTTTTTTAACTAGTCCTGTTTTTTTTTTAACTAGAGCAATACTGCAAAAATATTGCTACTCTCAGATTGCTATTTTGCACTTTACCAACAAGAGGTATTTGGTAAAAAGGGGGAAAATAAATGAAGTAAAACCGCGAGCTAACGACCAAGTAAATCCGCAATTTCGCCTCAAATTAAAAGAAAAGGTAACATATAACTATATTGCAGATGCTTTCAGTATAGATCTAAAAACCCTGGTAAGTTCTTCTTACAGTGCAAGTCTTACGCTCCACATGTCCTTTTTTACATACAGGTAACCGCAGAAAAAACAGGATGTAAGAAAAAGAATTCCAATTTAGGGTAGAATAAACTTAAGGCGAGCAGGCTCTCTCCAAGCAGGGCAATCTGAATAAATTGACAATTGACGCAATTTGGATTTCCCCAATGGTATAAAAGGGTTTCCTTAGAAGGAAATGCCTTTTTTAATCACGTTTTTCTTCAGAAAACCCGGCCAAGAATGGGAAAAAATTGAACAATAATTAACTATCTCTACAGAACCCTGATGATAATGCTACCAAAAATGCAATAATAAAAGCCAATTCACTTTAAATAATAAAAAAGCTGAACAAAGAACAAAATGTTGGAGAAAGAGAGTTGTTTTTTTTTGTTACGTATGAAAGGCAAAAGGTATAATCATTCAAAAAAATGCACCAATATGTATGAATTTAACACCGGTGAACTCTTAACCATTGTATTGTTTAATGTATTCTCTTTCTCCTAATGTGTCGTTAGGGAATATAATTCTACCATAAAAGAGAATGGTTTAAATATAGAGGAAAGGAAAAGGAACCAATTGAAAACGGGGACGAAACGACCGACCAAAAGAAAAGGGAAAGGAATAGATAGACACCCGCAATGAGATATTTGTAGGAGAAGAGGATACAAAGAAGATATATACTGCATGCAGAATTAATGTAACCATATATGTACGTGGTGATACTATAGGAGGGGGAGGGGGCTGGTACAGGAAATGGATTAGAGTCGACGGTACAGAAGGTGATCGTATGGCATTGAGAAGAAAAGCGTAAGAGCCGACTCCTTAAAAAATAATTGATACAGCAAGCTTTGATTTTTTTAAAGAAAAAGATTGATATTATGAATATTTTATCATATTATGAATATTTTATCATTTTTATGATCTGATATCTAATTGAACGTTTCTATATAATAATCTGTTACAACTACATTACAATACGTGAAACTATATGGATGTTTATTTCCATGAAATTCACGTGATTTTTTTGTCGGCACCAAATCATGGTGGGTGAATTATATCGCGTTATTAAATATGCAAATGGTATGCAAAAACCCGACTATAAATTTAGCCAATTGAAATTTTCATAAATTACTAATGACACAAAAACGAATAAGAAACAGTTACTGTTCTCATACCCGAGGAGTGTAGTGTCCCAAAATTTTCAACCAATCAAAATTTGCAACCAACTGTTCAGAAATGACTTCTATTTGAATTTTTGATTATTGAACTTTGATTGGCTAAAGTAGTTTTCGGGCATTCGGTTTTCCGACCAGGAGGGATCCCCAAACCCCGGATAAGAACAGGAGAAATATATAATTTTTTCGCTCAATTATGTCAAATACTTTTAAGGAATCGTTCGTATTTCTTTTTCATTTCCTGTTTTACTTCAGATAACAAAAAATAGGTAGTAAATTGAATTTAAGCTTTCAAGAACACAAACTGGCACATGTAATAAACAAACAAGCAAACAAAGATGTTTATTCAACCAACCAACATGTCAATTGGACCCTTGATTCTCGTCACCGAGCTCGTATGGTAACTACGATAAGAAGACAAATAAAAAATATTAATTTGTTCTTTTTCCGGTCAAAATTTATTTTTTTTCGGTACTTTTCCCCATCACAAACATGGTTGTAGCCGCAGAAAAAACAAGAGCAATATTACAAACTCTAGTCGTTTAAATCCGCCGTTGCAAAAAAATTTTTTCCCTTATTTCAAGACTTATTAAACCTTTAACACATTTCAACCTGTTCCCATGTTCGATAATTTTAGGTTTGACAACTGAACACATTTCGGTTTATTGGCACATAGGCTAATTGTACAAATGCCTTTAGGGAGGCTTTTTTAAACTAGCAAAGCAAAATGAGGGCTGTTTAGTTATACAGCATGCGAGGCATTTACAACACAGGGGCTCCAGCCGTTTATCAAGTCACGTGTGCGGAGAGGAAAAGCGACGGTGGAAGAGAACACAAGGGGAAAGGAATGGTAAGCGAGGAAACACGTGACTGCACCATCGAACAGCAAAAGTAAAGTTACATGCCAAAATGGTAATACGATAACAAATCGGTCACATGGGACATTTCCCCTTGCAAACAAACAAAATTTCTAATATATCACAAGGGTAATCGATAGCCAGTAATGCGTACAGGCGTTATTAGACTTTTAAAAAAATATCGATTTTTCTCCAGTCCTGCGTGAGCTACTTCAAAAAATATTGAAAATTCAACAATTTTGGGCACTTTCTTCGCTTTGAGAATTTCTGGGTGTAAGAAATTCTGGGAGTGATCATTTTCTGCGCTTCTAATCAGGAGTCTCATGCAAAAACAAGATCAATCATGCTTTTGAACTTAAGCATAAATTTTGCTCCGACGATTTTGATGGAAAAAACTGAACTGATCTTGAAGCACTACCTTTTCAAGCTACCTTTTGTTACAAACTAAGCAATTTAAGAGCTATTGCTTCTGCAAATATAAAAGCCAACCTTGCCATGATGCTAGCTAAGATTCAAAATTTTTTTGTTCCGGCCATTGAAAACGGGTAGAGAAACTTTGCATTTGGGTGTCTTTTAGTTTTTTTCTTTTTGTTTTCCACGCAAAATCAGGTACCACAAATAATCGACGGAAAATGTCGCGCGATATATCGTATCAAAGCCCTTTCAACTTTGATTCGAACGACATATTTTTTTTTGATTTTTGGTCTTATTTTGAGCGAATAAGTTGAGCGAGCAGGCTTGTTTTGATTTTCAACCAAAAGTTTTAACCGCAAACAATCATCGCAATGGGCGGAGTGATATATCATATTAAAGCCCTCTCAGCCGTGCTTCGAACGACATTAACAAATTTTCCGCGCAAAATCAGGTACCACAAACAAGCATCGGAATGGGTCAAGCGATATATCATATTAAAGTCCTTTCAATTGTGATTCGAACGACATTGAAAATTTTTGAAAACTTTTCTCCAGAGACGAGAACAACCAGTTTGAAATTTTTGATTTTTGCTCTAATTTAGAGCAAATAGGGTGAGTGAGCAGGCTTATTCTGTTTCAACTAGAAGTTTTTACCGCAAAAAATCATCGTAATGGTTGGAGTGATAAATCAAATTAAAGCCTTTTCAGCCCTAATTCGAACGACATTGAACATTTATCATCAGACGTTATCCCAGTATCAAGAAAAAACATTTGAAAATTTCAAGTTATAGTCTAATTTCGAGCGAGTAAAGCAAGCGAGCACTTTATTATAGAGGAATAAATCTTATAACTTCAGTTGAACTCCAGTAAAATGTTTTTATGACGTTCGTTTTTAGCGGTATCTTTGGATTAAAAAACTTAAAAATGTCAAAACAAGCTCTGCAAAAAAATTTTAAAAAATGGTAGGAAATTTTTCAGGTTTTTCTTTGTCATTTTTCGACTAAAACCGTGGTCCAAAACTTTTTGACTTTTAAGACTTTTTTCACTAAAACCGTTGCCTGATTGACTGTGACTGTCGAATTTGCCTAAAATTTGCCTATGACACGCAAAAAAAACATAATTTTGAAGAAAAAAAACACGGAAAAGCGTTTCATGTATTTTTCAAGAGTATGGTCGAAACATGTGCCGTATGCAAAAACACCGTCTATCATTGTTCTTATATGGATCCAGAAGAAAGAGGAATTAAAGCTTATTGACAAATATTGCTGTTTGAGTTTTAATGTTTTTAGATGGTCTTATTTCTGGAAAAGAAGAAGTATATCGCTTTTTAAAACCAGATTATGAAAGGTCTTTGATCGAAGTGTTGGCCTGCATATCTAATAGTTTTTGAATTTTTAAATGATCTGATAGTAAACGCCATTAATTATTTAGCTTCGTATTTTGTAGTTTTCAGCTATGATCGTTCGGCGAATGACGATCCTTAAGACCAACTTTTATTTCTTTTAAGCAATAAAAGATCCAGAGATTAAAACCATGTTGAAAGGTTTCTGAGGTTGAGTCAAATCGGTCGTTGGAAGCGCGGATTAAACCAAAAGATATAAACACAAACCCGCCAGAAGAAAGTTGAACCTTTGGACCCTGGTCGTCCGAAATACCCTGGCTCCTCAAGTTTGTGATTATATTTAGAATACTTATTTGGAAATTTATGGAAATTTTGCTATGAAAGGCATAAAGGGTTAAGCCATTACGCCAGAAGTCTGAAAAACATTTGTGCTAATCAGAATAAAACTCATAACGAATAAGCGTAAAATTCCATCAGTTTTGGGCAGTTAAAAGAGCGACGATTGGCTGAAAAATTTCGCAAATTCAGTTCTCCTGGAGATTAGCTTATTTAGCTTCCGAAAGTTGGGAGGAATTTATCTGGAATATGCACCGTTAGCCTCCAAGGTTAATATCAAAATTTAGGACTATCTTGTGCTGAACAAAAAGCATTGTCTTCAAATAATTGAAATTCTATAAAAGAAGTTTGATGTAAATTGAATAAAAAATAGGATCTCTTTAACCATCTCCCCCTTTACAAGAAGGGGGACATTGTTAAGTAGGATAAGTTAGTCAAGTTTTTGACCAATCAAAACGTAGCAGAATTAGAATTCTCAAAAAAGCCCTTGTGCTAATTTACTGTTTTCATTGTAAGGGTTGAAATTCGTTAGTACACCATAGGGGAGGGGAGATTGTTAAGTAGATCCTTGAAATTCTAGTGTGATTTAGACTTTTTGGCTAATCGAAATAAACGCACTCTCAAATACCGTTTCGTTTATAAAGTATTATGATAATTATGATTTTTTTGCAAAACACGAAATTATCTACAGTGGTTTTTTTCTAAATTACTCAAACAAGCGGAACTTTTGAGGTCATTTTTGGGAGTTGAAATTGAAATAGCAAAGTGGTAAAGTCTTCGTGAAAGGGTGTATTTGATCCCCTGTCAAGACTCTTACGCGACTTCTAGCATCCGATCTACATCAACTAGACCGATTTTGACCTCCTTACAGGTACCACGGAAAAGTTTAGGAGCACAAAATGGACTTCAATCGCCTTAAAGTTTAAACAAAACTGCTCGCATAGAAATCAGGGATAAGCCCTAAATGTACTGACTGCCCTTCAACTTGTCTCGAGTAATTTTCGATTAATGAAACTAGCGTGTAACGCACCTCCGGCACTCCGAATTTTTAACAAATCATAAAAAACCGCATATATTGGAAACAATATCTGCATTCTTTGAAGGTGCTCTGACAGCACCCAATTACAGGGTTCGCAATTACAAATTTTGCAATGTTTTTTTATTCAACTTTTTGATACAAATCTTGAAAACCATGAAATTTTGTAGTTTTATGTAAGTTCTTTAAGAAATTTAAAATGAACAAGGAAACATCCCATCTGGGAAACTAAAAACAAGTGAGAAGTCGCATTTGGACGCAAAATTTGCAACTCCTGAGAGTACTCTTTCAAAACCCAAGTACAACGTAGGGAAATTCAAATTTTGAGGAACTTCAACCTTAAGTTTTCTAAGAAAGGTATTTTTTGAAAACCAGAAAAAATGTCTTTTCTCGAAAACGTCAAGATTTGAGCAGTCTTATTTGAAAGCAATATTCGCAATCTTTGACAGTACTCTGACAGCACACAACTACAGGGTTGGGAATTTAACTTTTGTGAATTATTTTGTAACTTGAGTTTTCTGAAAAAATCCGAAAAAATCACAGAAATCGTCGTATCTCTTTAACTAAAAAGATTTGGACATTCTTAATTGGAAGCCGAATTCGCATCCCCGGTGATAACTCTGAAAGCCCCTAACTACAGTTTAGGAATTTCAAAGTTTGAAGAAAAAAATTTAATTTAATTTTCATGAAAATATTTTAAAAAATCACAAAAAACATCATATCTGGTTCACAAGGTTTTGAGCAGTCATATTAGGAGGCAAGATTCGCAATCTTTGAGAGTACCCTGACAAAGCGTCACTTCACAGATGGTAGTTTCAAATTTTGGGAGTTTTTTTATTAGAAGTTCTGATTTAGAAGTTTTTTATTTACAAGTTTCTTATTTGAAAAAATTTGAGAAAATCCTAAAAAACGCTATATCTAGAAAACTACAAGGATTTGAGCAGCCATAATCACCCTGAGCAGCCAAAACCCTGACAGCACCACACAATTGGGTTGCTTATTTTAAACTTGATGGAAAAAAAACTGAATTTAAACAGGAAAATCGAAAACAATCTTAACCATTGCAATATATGATATAGCTTAAGCGTGAAAAAACTCTTTTGTTAAACATGCAAAATTATTATGCTTAAACATAGGTAATAGCTGTCACAAGCATTCAAATATAGTATAGATAGATAGATATGAGACACTGAATTTAAACTGGAGAATCGAAAAAAAAATCTTAACCATTGCAATATACGATGTAGCTTAGACGTGCAAAAAATCTTTAGTTAAACATGCAAAAATAAATACGTTGAAAAAGCTTAAACATGGCGAGATAAGGAAGCCCGCATTCAAATATGTAATCGAAATAGATACATAAAAGATAGATGAAAAAGCAGGTATACAAAGAGACAGACTTAATTTCACCGCGAAAAAAATGGCTGAAAAATTAATGACCTTGAGGAAAGTTCATCGAAAAACATTCTTAAGTAATTCAATATATGATAAAGCGTAAACGTGAAAAAATTCTTTCGTTAAACATGCAAAACTATTATGTTTAAACATAGGAGATAGCTGTCACACGCATTTAAATATAGTATAGATAGATAGATATAGATATAGATAGAAGGCACCGAATTTAAACTGGAAAATCGTACAAAAAAAAATAATCTTAATCATTGCCAAATAGGATATAGACGTGCAAAATTTCTTTTGTTAAACATGCAAAAAAATAGTACGTTGAAAAAGCCTAAACATGGCGAGATAAGGGAACCCGCATTTAAATATTTAATCGAATTAGATAGATAAAAGATAATATTTAGATGAAAAAGCAGGTATACAGGCAGACAGACTTAATTTGACCTCAAAAAAAAAATTGGTGAAAAATTAATGATCTCGCGGAAAGTTCATCGAACAATTTTCTTAAGCA